CCATGGAGTCCTAGTAACATGCATTAAGCCACTATGTAACAGTTACATACTTGTCTTTTTACTCTCCCTTTCCCTAGCAAATAGCAGGGAATTTAACACCAGTGCAAGCTGCAACGTACCTGCAAAGTACCTATCCAAATCATTAGTTAAAATATGGCCTGTCACCCTGGCAGATGCCGCTATTTGAACGTGGTGATTTCCCCAAGATCATGTTCTATTACCTCTGAAAACCATTCACTCCCATGGTACCTTACTGCAAGTGCAGGAGTTCCCACCCCTGCACACACACCGCATCTTGGCTGAATTCCTATACAGGCCACTGATTCGGGCCTGTGTAATTTTTCTGTCATTTCAACTTTGTAAGAAAAACCTTTATTAGATTCTTCCCACCCTTACTCTTATGTGGAGTCAGACTACCCCATGAAGGTGTAGACACAAGTTAGAGATGGTGGGGAGTCAGCACCTCCTGGCACAGGGGCTGGAACTATGAGTGCTGGGGTGCTACCACACACCCTTACGTGCAGTAGTAATAACAACCCAAATACAGGGTTTCTGCCGTCAGCACCCCCACTATAAAAATTGTTCCAGCACCACGGCCTCTGGGAGGCACTTAAGGGGAGAGCACACCCTGCATGTGCCCTTACAGAGTAAAGCATGTGCCCCCCACACAGCAAGCCAGCTTTGCCTCCCATGACAGGCCCTGCCTCCTCCCAGCCCCATTTGGGCTGTCCCATGTCCCTGGGAGTAGGTCCTTAACAGAACAGAACACAGGAGCTTCAGTTTTGTCCCTATATGGGAGAAGACACACTGGATTGGGGGTGAAGTTGCTTGAAGCCAACCCCCACAACTTCCATGATCAACAGGGGGTGGAGGGAGGAGTTACATCATAGTCCATAGTGTGCTGGAGGGAAATACCAGTCATAGAATCATAGAATACCAGGGTTGGAAGGGACCTCAGGAGGGCATCTAGTCCAACCCCCTGCTCAAAGCAGGACCAATCCCCAGACAGATTTTTGCCCCAGATCCCTAAATGGCCCCCTCAAGGATTGAACTCACAACCTTGGGTTTAGCAGGCCAATGTTCAAACCACCGAGCTATCCCTCCCCTCCCCCCAATGGCATCCCTGGGTGGGCTCAAACCCCCATCCTTTCAGTTAACAGCCGAATGCGCTGACCCCTTACAGGGATAGCCACATTACAGCAGTATTGCAGGGCTCCTCTCTCTGCAAGTTTTGGGATTTGTGTGTGAATGAAAGGTGTTTGGCCCATATCCTCCAAGGTATTTAAGTACCTAACTCCCATTGATGTCTTTGGGAGTTAGGCACCTAAACACCTTTGATGACCTGAGATTATAGGTCATAAATTTCATAATGTCCAAATCATGAGTGCTATAGCATATCTGCTGGTAAAACAACAATGACACTAGAAGGATTAACATGTGAAACCATACAGACGCTGATAAACACTCAGGAAAAATGCATATTTTTTTAGCATTAACTGCTGCTATAAAGCACATAAAGCAGGGAAACTGGAATTTGGTATCCACAAAGCACAGGTGAAAAAAATATATTCCTGGAAATTTCAAAGGATACGCTACAGGCACTACAACGGCAAAGAACTAGCCACACATTTACTCCAAGTGTAGCGCCTTGATATTTGATTCTTCTGTTATCTTCCTGATTTTTATTCATACACTTGACTTTGTTCATATTATGGGTTCAGTTTGTGTTACTTTAAGGAAGTTCCAGTACAATACTTTTCAGAGTAACATCCTATCAAGGCACTATAAGTATGAAATGTCATAGTCACATAGCTGCTGACTGTACAATGCACATTAGGAACATGTTCCTGCTAATGTAAATGCTTTATAAATAGAAAAGAAAAAAAAGCAACCTCAGAAACAGATTACCCATCCTTAAACTATAAGAGTAACAAGTTTTATATAGTACATGACATTAACAGTTGATGAAGAAAGTGCATTTCAAATGATGCAAAACAGTAAATTAAGATCTAATATATTTATGGATGGCAACAGTATCAACAGGTTTAAGAACAAAATGTGTTGGGGGGGAAATCTTGAGTGCAGTACAAACAGAAAATCCTACAGTATGTCATATACATATGGACCATTGGCAAGGAACCACACAGAAAACATACATCCACTGGGAATCAAGAAGTGGTGGAAAGGCCAGATGCAAAAAAGGTTTTCAGATTTAGCAGATAAAAGTAAATGTCTTCTGCCTTTCATTTTAAAGAGGACGTACACAGTCAAAGAGAATAGTACAGATTACTCCAAGAAAGAATAATGATAGTATACTAGATAGAATTGTATATTGCAGGCCCCAATGCCAAAGAAATTCTTTTCATAGCAACACTGTGAAAATTGAATACTTTTTGCATGCTAGGGAATTTATACTTGGTCCATAACTTAAAATTGGGATGTAGCTAGCCAGCCTGCTGGGATGCTGTGAAACTTTGCAAAAATAATATTGAGGCCATTTTGATACAAGATCCCTATTTACAGTTTCAGCAGAAACATATTCTTAAATAGACAACTGTGTACATACTGAACAGAATCAAAGGGCAGTAAAAAGTAACTGGTGCTCAAAAGAACATTGAAAAATTAGATTACACAGCTTGGCAATTTATTCTGATAATGGCCAATTCACCCCCTACTGTATGTGTAAAGGTCAACACACTAATTCTATTGGTCACAGAGAACAAGCGAAGTATTGGTTTCATTCCTTTAGCATCATTTAAAATGTACTCTTTATAAGAAGACTATAACTAAGACTATAGAGCAAAGATAAAACATTAAGTAGAACTAGACGGTGAATAATGAGCTAGAGGCAAAAGGATATATGAGCATTTCTTTGGAGATTTACCTTTTTATTCCTTCTCCCCCTGCCCAAGGGCTCTGTATCAGGCCAACCAGTCCTTTCAGCCAAGGGAAGTTGGCTGGGGTGGTGTCTCTCTCACATTACGAAGGCCTGGTCTATACATAGGTTTTACACTGATTTAACCAAATTGGCGTACAAACTGATTTTGTTAAGTTCATACAACTTTTATGTGTAGACAAGGCCACAATCCCTTTGTGATTGTGTTCAATACAAATAACTGAGCATCAAAGAAGGGAGGCAATGGATTCATAGTGACATTCACATATTTTCAATACCTGGTAAGTGTTTGGGTTGGCAGCTAACTCCACTGTGCCTGAGGGGTTTCTATTTAATTGTTGCCAGTTAGGCTTTTAGAACTCCGCAGACTCTCTACTGGATTTATTTTGGGGCCAAAGTAAAATATAGTCATGTTCCTAGTCTGAGCAGTATGGAGAATCTCACAGTGGTTCAGAGAGTAAATAAAAAGAGTGTACATCTACACAGAGACTTTAACCAACACATAACATTCAACCTATCATTTTGACAATAGGCTCACAAAACAAAAGCAGTGGAGCCCTTCATTTGGTGAGATCAGGGGTGGGAGAAAAGTTATGTCCCACTCTGAAGATTTATGATTTCTTTGTTCTGGAGGCTCTGTCCCTTCAGAAGCTCCAGCATGGCAGCTCTTCTCAATCTTAGCTCACATTGGGGAAACTGGAAAGCCAGCTAGTACCCCTTCCTTCTACAGCAAGTAAGAGCATATGTCACATCACTAAGGCTACTTAAGACAGCTGCTAAGCTGTGGTTATCACAATGCTGGGAACTGGCTCTGCCATGCTTACTCCTGCAAAGACAACTTCATTTTTAAACAGCTGTAGTTGTATATTTCTAAAATCAATATGTCCAGCTAGCCTTCTAGGGTATTTATAGTGCACAAATTACTGAGATCTCTAGATGTCAAAACCAAGGTATATGCACTAGAGGGACTCAGCAGATCTTGACAAAATGGACTTGTCCTTGACATATTAGTTTACCTCCATAACTTTCTGTTAATTAAAGTTACATACACCAGGGAATACAGCAGGTTTTTGTTCCTTTCTATGTTATTCAGCAAGTTGATGATCAAAAGTAGGCAGTAAATATCAGTAAACTGAAAAAATATCTTAACTGGTTGTTCAAGGAAAATTTTTATCACCCCTGCTACAGTATGCATCTGGCAACTTTATGGTGGGTACAAAATTTCTGGAATGGAGAACACTGTCATTATTGAACAAGTTGAACAAAAATGCTGAATAGTGTCAATATTTCATTCAAACGGTAGGAAGGGAATAAGCCAACCTACACACACAGCATTCTAACGGCCAATAATATACAGACAGATGAGGGCAAAAACATACTTCTAATACCATCAGTCTAGGATTCCTGGCACCACAATGATCATATCTCCTTCAGCTCTTGAGGCAATATTTCTGTACTGTATGTCGGCTGTTGCCAGAATGCAAGTAAACTTCATAACTGACTGCCACTTATACCATTCACGGGAGCAGTAAGTTAGCTGTTGGCTTACACTCTATGAAATCCAGTATCAAAGTAAGAAAGCATGACTACAGCATTTGGTAATCATAGCATTCCTTATTCTCCTGCTTTCACTGAAAGTAAACAGGTTAAATTTCTCTGATGTAGCTATACTTTTAAATACAGTGTTTAAAGAAAACAAATTTTAAAGAATTGCCATGCTTACCATCCTTTTCCTTCCTCCATAAACTGTATATTACAATACAGCTGAAACTATAGGAGTTAATTCCCTACAGTAGGTTATATTAAATGGCACGTATAAAGCATTTTAAGGCAGCGGAACGTTTTAGGAATAGCTCAGGTGATGAAAAAGGCTAATATAGTACTAATCATATAGTATTTTAATTCAGAAAAAATATGCCCAGCTATATTGACCCTAGCATCATAAGGGTTGAAAAACCAAACAAGTATGCCATCAAGCATGTCTGAGGAATCCACTGAGCTAGTCTGCTTCTGATACATATTGTGCAAGCCCTTGACGCTGCAATTATAGTCAAAAAAGTGTATTCACTACACCTGTGAAACTATATAAAAGATGTACAAAATATAAATGTCATCAGGACTTTATATTTTCAAAAAATTTAAATAAACACAAAGTATATATAGGCATATATGTTGTAATTTCAGTGTCAACACTAGCACAGAGTTTGTCTCTTCTAAATACATACCTGTATACTTCCTATTCCAACACATGCACCTACAAACACATGATCATGCATACAGCTTTACTTTCTGCTGTTTGCAGAAAAGTCAGAATATACAGAACTATACATTGTATCAACTCAAAAGATTGGCAAACCAAGGAGGATGTCATTCAAAAGTAATTCTTTGTGAGCCATTTAAGAAAGAAAGAGAGAGAAAAAGAAAACAAGGGGTATAATTATTTCATCAATAAAAACACTGAAGACTGCGATGATGATCTAAGATTGAAAATGCTTTGCCCAGTAAGTCAAGTGACAGGATTACTCTTGGATGATATACAACAGTGTAGAACTGGTTGCTATCACAATCACAGAACACACAGGTATAAAGAGGCGCAGAGCTTTCACATTTCACAACATCATCAAATTCATCCTTGAGTTCAGACTACTGCCGTCTCTGACTGAGGTGAGAGAGAATAACTGTGTGTGGTCATTCTCACAGCAGGTGGTGCTGAAGGTGATCTGGATGCCCACCTGGAAGGTAAGCGTCTATTTGCTGGTCGCGCTGGCCGGGAGAAGCCTTTCCCAGTTGAACATTTAGCTGGCACAGATATCTAGAACACAAATGAAACTACTTGCCTTAACAAGTTATAACACAGTCGTTCATGGAATGTAAAAGGAATGAAGTGGCATACCTCAGAACAGGTGGTCTTGGGCTATTAAAAGGACCTGAGGATGTATTTACATAGCAATGTATAGAATGCAAAAGAACAGACACTTCTATATATAGGAATTCTTACATTAGTTGCAGCATGAGATATGTTGACATGGATGCTAGATACAAGGGAAGATATAAGATTTTAACCCATATGCAAAGCATAAATTAATTGATCCTGCAGGCACTTTTTCATTTTTGGAACTTATGTGGATGAACTTTTATGCTGGTTCATAAACATAACTCAATAGACAACAATACATTGAAACAGGATTCCATGTACCTTTCAGGTGTCGTTTGATGGATCCTGTTGTAACAGCCAAGGCTCATTATATAGGACTGTGTTTCCATTACTGTTACGTGAAGATGTTTGCACTTCATAAATTGTTAATAATGATTATTTATGAATATAGTGTCATAGCTGCAGAGCTTCACAAACACATGAAAGCCAACAGTCCAGATTCTGTTCTTTGTTTCAGTGGTGTAAATACAGAGTAGTTATCATAGATGTGATTCTTCAGTGCATTGTGCCATGTGTGGTTCTTTATACCTTTGCAAAGTGAGTGCAGGTGGGTTTAAAATGCTGCCAGACTGATTAGTTAGTATTTTACACCCACTTTACATAGGCATAAATGACTACACTAGGAGCAAGACAGCGGACAGTCAGGCCCATTGGCTTTAGTAGAGTTACTCTGGATTTATGCCAGTAAAAATAAAATCAAACTCTGGCTCATTGTTCTTGCTCCAAATATTCACTGAGGAAATTTCCTATCAGATTTACACAGAGCAAAAAAATCAGAAGCTTCTCCTTTTTTTTTTTTTTTTTTTGGCTATGGTAGAACAAAGCTGTTTCTACTGAAAACTAGCTGCACACCACAGTCGCGGGAACTAGGGGTTCAGGGGGTTTTGCAGCATCCCCAAGTTTTACATGGGGTTCCAGCTGCCTTCCCCACTCCGGGATCCCGGCTTCCAGCCCTGTGCCCGGGGCTCTGCCTCCACCATCCCCGGGGTCCTGGCTGCCAGCCCCATGCGTGGGGCTCTGCTCCTGGTCTTACTCCCACCCCCAGCTGTGGCCCCAGCCTCAGCCCCTTTACCCAGGTCCCCCACTCCCGGAGACACAACCCTGCTCCCAGCCCCAGCTCTGGACAGAGGTAAGGGGTTGGCTTTCAGCACCCCACTATTAGAAAAGTGTTCCAACTGCTGCACACTGGTGAAGCTGACCCAAAAAACCCCAAACCAACAAAAACACCCTTATGTTAGGCTCAGACCTTGGTCAGAAGAAAATCTATAGGATCAAATTCTCAGCTGTTAAAATCAATGTGGCTCCACTGAAGTCAATGGAATTGTGCCAATTTAAATTATACCAGTTGACGATCTGACATACTTTTTTTCCCTATGGGGTTTCACAGCTCCAAGTGAGTCTACCCCATTTCTGTCAGGAGCTAATGAGGGTATCATAGAAGTTACTAGGGACAGCAAGGGTCATCTAGTCTAACCCCCTGCCAAGATGCAGGATTTGTTGTGTCTAAACCATCCAAGACAGATGGCTCTATCCAGCCTCCTTTTGAAAACCGCCAGTGAAGGAGCTTCCACAACCTCCAGTCAGTTCCATTGTCCTACTGTTCTTACAGTTAGGAAGCTTTTCCTGAGCTTTAATCTAAATCTGCTGTGCTGTAGTTTGAACCCATTGCCTCTTGTCCTGCCCTCCGGGGCAAAAGGGAGCAACTTTTCTCCATCTTTTTGATGGCAGCTTTTCAAAAGTAGCTGAAGACCGCTATCATATCCCCCCTTAATCTCCTCTTTTCCAAACTCAGCATACCCAGTTCCTTCAGTCTTTGCTCATATGGTTGGCATTCCATCCCGTCTATCATCTTTGTCGCTCACCTCTGGATCCTTTCCAGTTTCTCTACATCCTTTCCTTTGCCTGCTTCCAGCCAGCAGTCTGCTGGAAGAATGGGTGAGAATGCTCCATTACTGGAAACTTATAGAAACCCCAGCATGGCACCTTCAGGGGACAAGCAACAGCCATCATTCTGGAGACTGCTCTCTCAGCCCCTGTAGGTTTTGCCATGGGAGGCTGTGTTAAAGTCCTTTTAATAGGTTTTTGAAAAGAGTCATTGGAGGGATGGGGGGGGGGGGGGGGAATGGGCCAGATTCTGATGTTAGTTATAGCAGTGCAAATCTCAAGTAACTACACTGAGGTTAAACTCTAGATTTACACCAGTGTAACTGAGATCAGAATCTGGTCCCACAGGACTCCTATATTTCACTGATGTAGCTCCATTACCTTCCATGGAATCACTCCTGATTCACACAGGTGTAAATGAGATAAGGATCACACCCAAAGTGTCTAATATTACACAAACAGATATTTTGGACAGTCCCATTTAAGTGGCTTGTTTCTGAAGCTGGGTATAAATCTCACCTCTGGTAACTTCTGTCTCTCTTTGCCTTGTTTGACTTGCTTCCCAACACACCTGGCTGAATTCCTCTGAAACTCTTGCTTTCCTTGCTCTATCTGGAGCATTTCTAAATACTGACTCGATGTCTCACAACTCCCATCTGTGAACTCAGAATCTGACTGTGTCCACTTATCTTTGCAGCATTTAGAATTATACAAAGAAGTCACTGTTGATTTTTCATAGTTTTTCAAAAGTTTTTCAACAACTCCATAGTTTGACCTTGAGTCAGCTGAACGCGGGCGACCAGATAAATTAATTGGTCTCCAATCATGCTCATGAAGCATATGCCGGTAGCCACTGGTGCTTAGAAGTCCATTTATTTGCTTTTGTTGCCCTGTTGTTCTGGCAGTTTTGGTTGGATTGCAGGGATCCTGTTTCTTTGCTGCAGAGAGTCTGGGATTTGAAACATAAGATGCATTTACAGTTTCTGTTCTGTTAACCATACAGTCACACCCTGGACCACAGTGTTTATGATCTCCAGTTGGTGTTTGAAGCTTCTGATTTTCTTGCAAAGATTTGTTGCATTTATCTGTATGAAATACAGTCCTGTTAAATTCATCAATCTTTGCTGCCAACATTTCATTTCTTTGGGTCTTCTTTGGCAGCATTGCAGGGTCACAGGAGTCATTACCATAATGTAGAACATTAGAAGATTTAGGGCAATGTCTCCTGTGCACATTCTCTGTTTGCACCATATTTCCATCTGAACAGCTTTTCTGGGCAGACAATGGGGAAGCTCCATTCTGAGTACCTTTTCCAAGCTTGCCCACATCACATGACCATGTGTTGTGACAAAAACCTGCCGCTACACTGCACTCAGAGACTCTCTCTTTTTTGGCTATAGGTACTGAAGCAGTTACCACTGCACCACCTTTCACAGACTTCCCTTCATTTGCATGTACCACTGGAGCTTCATTCTGTTTTGCAAGAGAAGGATTAATACATTTCCTTCCATTCCTACCCTCCTGAACCTTACAGTTGCTTCTGCTGCCTGAATCTTTTACGGGTACTTCAGAGACGTGTACAGCTGCAGAAAGTGAGCTTGTCAGATGTCGAGAAGTGCTCCGTGGAGGAATTGGGGGGGCTTCTTTTTTTGGCCAGGGCATGAAGTCTCTTCCTCTATCACCAGTAAGAGAGCTACAAGGCAAATCTTTCAAACCCCTGTTGGCACTCATCAAGTTCTTCCTGTTATTTTGTCCTTCTGTTTCAAAGGTGAGGGAAGAAGTTTGTGGTTCATTGCTGGACATGCGGTTCATCTCAGGCATAATAACTGTGTTTTGGGTTTCTTCAAATTCTTCCAGAAAAGGAAGTGACTTCATTCTGTACATAAAAGAAGAGGTGTTTTTAGTGACAAGTGATGAGGATATTCGTCCTAAGAAGTCATCCTGGGAAAAGGAAGGGAAGACTTAACCCGTATACATGTGACAGAGCACAAGAGCACTGCCTGACCTTTAAGTGGAACAAAGGGTTAACCCCAGCACAGCTTCCCACTCCCAGTACACAGGCACCCAGAAGAAGGTCTTTAAGATTGGCTGTTTGAAAAGATTTTGTGGGCAATTCCACTGCTATGTACACAGGGAAGAAGTCCCACCCTATGATGGAAGAGTTTGAAGGAACCTCAGCAAAGGGAATCTTGCAGTGTATTCCTCCCCTTCATCCCCCCACCTAGGTCCCCTCTAACAGGTTTTACTGTAGGAAGGAGGACGGGCCCTCTAATTTGTACTGAGTTCAGTGGGAGTTGGCATGAGTATTTGAGTGAGGAGAGCCTCTGCATGTAGTCATTGGCTTGTTCAAATGTCTTAATAGTCAAGGTGAGAGCACAAATGTGTCATTTATGGTTCATGCAATAATCACATTTTCCAGCACACATTCACAAAGTGTACACCATTTCCTTCACAGTTATTGATGCTAAAGTAATCATACACTGTGGAAAAGACTGTGGGCTGCCCATGCATGGATGTGCTGGGGGAAGACTCCAAGGAGCCCCTCAGTACTTCCTGAACCTCTCAGCAAGAGCCTGGCACAATGTGCGTATATACCTATAAGGCGACAGGTGTTAGCTGTCTAGAAAATGACAGGGTGAGGTCAGGTCTGTACTCATCAGAGTTTGCTGAGCACGGTGAGGGAAACACAATGCATCCTCTCCAAGAGTGGTGTAGCTGCCACACAAGTGTGGGCTTCCCAGGAGCCCCAAGGAGGAATTCTGGCAGAATCAGCCTAAACCTTTTGGGTACTCGGCTGCCATGTGGCCCCACCGAACCCCTGCCAGACAGCCTGTCACACCAAGGGCACAATCTAGCCCTCTGTGCATTTTATGTACATCCTTGTGTAAGGAGCGGTCCCTAGCAGTATTTCCCCATGAGGAACCCAAGGGCACTATGTTTGCAGTGGTGGAGGGGAAAAATGATTTGCTACTGTTCTTTTCAGTATGTAGCTTACTTCTCCCTGACGTGGCCAGCCACCTCCTCTTTTGTGTGTGTGTGTGTGTGCGTGCATGCAAAGTGGGGAGGAGGGGGAGGGAAGTCACTCCCTATAGGGAGTATCTGGTGCAAATCCCCTGCAGTCCCTCCAGTATCCAGTGCTGAGATCTAGGTAACCCTAACATGACACAGAGTGGGGACAGAAATCTTTCGTCCTGTTTACTCCACTACTGTGTTAGGGCTAGGCACAATCTAGCCCTATGTAAATACAGATATCAGTTTATATATTTTGGAAGCACACTGAATTTTCTGCAACTAAAATATGAGTTTGAAACATATTTTGGTTTTCACTGGGATTCCTTACACTGAGCACTGAGAAACTGAGCACTGAGCCTTATCCAGCTCCTGACCAATTCAATTACAAATTTCCCTTTAACTTGAATGGGCTCAGGAATAGGCCCATTGTTGCCTTTCTTCCCCTAACATAAATAGGCCAAATGTGTTTTTACCTTCTGTGGTTGGGCTTCTTTCGAATTTCCTCTTGATAGCTGCATAACTCTTCACTAACTTTCGCCAGTTCTTTAAGAGCCTTTAGAAATATAAATAATGTTACCTTAGCATGAACAATAATCTCCAGAATTGTTTTACACCCAATGATGATTTACACAGGAGAGTCCTGTGCAGAAGGGAGTAGCACAGAAAGGTCTCCACGTTATGGACCAAGGTAAATAGCATGCCACTAGTATATTTAACAAAAGTTTATATACTCAACAGTAACAAACTGAGAGGAAAGGGGAAACATTCTCTGGCTGGGAAGTTGTTGCATTCTGAGACCAGTAGTGTAGTGAGGGGGGTGCAGGGGAAGCAGCTGCTTCCCCTGAGCACATTTTCTAAAAGCGGCGCCTTTCCGCGCAGCCAGCACTGGGCTCCGGACTTGGAGTCCGGAGCTGGGTTTTGCATGCGGCCGCTGGCTGGCTCTGGGCTCCGCACTGCCCCCCTGCATCCTCAGTCCGGCTCGCTCGCTCCGGGGCTGCAGGCGGCGTCGGCTGGTTGCCTGGCTCCCTGGGGAGGAGGAGGAGGCAGCTCCCCCCTGCCTGCAGCTGCCCAGCTTGCTAAGTCGAGCCTCGTTTGGAGCACGCTGCCCAGGCAGGGGTGGGCTCTGCCGGGAGGGGAAGGGGCGGCAGCGCGGTGGGGTCTGGGGGGGGGCTGAGGAGCAGCAGCCCCGTTGGCCCCCGGCCCCAGCAGCTCCATGCAGAGTGAGGCAGCCACACGGCGGGGAAGGCAAACACCTCCTGAACCGTCCTGGGTGAGCTCTTGCTCCTGGGCTGGTGATGCAGGAAGCCGAGACCTTCCCTCAGAGTCAGTATTGAATCAGCGTGATGATCCTCAGTGTCCCCTGAGCATGATGCTCAGGGGACACTGTGCCACCATCTCTCAGAGGAAGCTTAAAACCAACGTCCTGACCATGTGTGATCACTAAAGAGTCCACTTCCTCATTGCTTAACTCTCCTGTCCTGGCCAGTGTGGGCGATTGCATCCTGCTGACCCATCTTGCCCTTGCAGTTGTGACAGGAGGAGACATTTTTTCACTTTGTCGCCTCTGTCACACCGTTGTGGTGCAAATTGGCTGCCAAGTTCCACCCCAGAAGCAGCTGAATTTCAGGCTGGGATGAATGATCTCTCTGTCTGTATGGATGTATTCTATAAAGCACAACGCATGAAGTGCATCAATGGCAAGTACTGGTATCCTGCTGGCATGATAGCCAGGGCACCATGATACTGTGTTGCATTGTTTGCATCTTTAGTTGTGATGATGCCTCACTGCAGGACACTATTGTGTGTCCTGGGGCACAGTCATTATGTGACAGCATCACAATGCACTACATTAACATGCAGCTCTTTAATGGCTCATGCTCATGGGACACAGGACATTTACAACAGTAGAATCATAGGACAGGAAGGGACCTCAGGAGGCCTTCTAGTCCAGTCCCCTGCACTCGTGGCAGGACAAAGTATTATCTAGACCATCCCTGACAGGTGTTTGTCTAACCTTTATTAAAAATCTCCAGTGACGATGATTCCACAACCTCCCTGGGCAATTTATTCCAGTGCTTAACCACCCTGACAGTTAGGAACTTTTTCCTAATATTCAACCTAAACCTCACTTGCTGCAATGTAAGCCCATTTCTTCTTGTCCTATCCTCAGAGGTTAAGAAGAACAATTTTTCTCTCTTCTCCTTGTAACAACCTTTTATGTACTTGAAAACTGTCCTCATGTCCCCTCTCAGTCTTCTCTTTTCCAGTCTAAACAAACCCAATGTTTTCAATCTTCCCTCATAGCTCATGTTTTCTAGATCTTGAATCATTTTTGTTGCTCTTCTCTGGACTTTCTCCAATTTGTCCACATCCTTCCTGAAATGTGGTGCCCAAAACTGGACACAATACTCCAGCTGAGGCCTAATCAGCCTATTACTGTCCTGAGACCTCCAGGTGAAGCGGCAATCCAACTGTAAGGAAGCAGGAAACATGCGTTCAATTCCCAGCTCTGCCAGTGACTCCCTGGGTGACTTTGAACAAGTCACTTAGTCTGACTGTGCCGCTGTTCTCCATCTGTAGGTACGTCTACATTGGAGCTGAAGGCATCATGCCCAGCTGGAGGAGACATACTGGTGCTAGCTTGGATCAAACTAGAGTGCTAAAAATAGAAGTGTAACGGCATGAGCACCAGGATGGGCTAGTCACCTGAGTGCTTATCAAGGGTCTCAGGTGGGATCACACTCAGGATGGCTAGCTCAGGTGGGATCACACTCAGGATGGCTAGCTCCTTGCACCACTGTGGCTCCATTTCTATTTTTAGCACACTAGCTTGATCAGCACTACCACGGGTATGTCTACACAAGCCAGAAATTACACCTCCCTTTTCCAGTGTAAACATACCCCAAATCATGGGGATACTTCCTTTCGTCCACCCTCTGTAAACTTTTGGTACTCTATATGTACAGCTTCAAGCACAGCCTGACTTCATGTGAGGCTTCTAGGCCCTACTGGACTTGTTATTAATAATAATTAATATGCCACCAAGAAATAAGGGAACCATTGGCTGGAAACCAAGCGTGCAGCACTACAATAGGCACCTGTCACTTGGAAGTTAACACGGCTTCCAAGCTTTCAGTTTTCTCACATCAGGACATCCAAGGAGACCTCGACAGAACAGTACAAAAGCCACAATCTGGTGGGCAGAGCTCCTGGTGGCTCTGAAGCACAGCTGGTGCCAGCGGAGGAGGTGGAGAAGGAAGGAAAAGGGGGGGAGCGGGGATGTTTTTTCCTCGTGGTCTCTTTTCAGCGGCATCTTTTCTCCGCGAGCAGCGGCAGCCCGGGGAATGACTCTGCCACAGCCGAGCCGCTGCTCTGCTCCGGGGGCGAGGGGTGACAATTACAAACTACTGTATTCTGTGATTTACTTTCTAGAATCTAAAGTATATCTAAGTATAATCTAAAGTCCTCCGGTGAAATGCCGGCTGTGCAAACCCTTCCATGGCTGGATCATTCTTGTGTTTTTATTTTAAGTACAAATAAATATGCATAACAAATTTAAAAGTATGTAATTAGTAATTTGATATGTCGGGTGGTGCCTTTTTTTATGTGTTCGCTCCCCCTGATGTTAGAACCTGGCTACACCACTGCCTGAGACTCAGAGGACATATACTTTGGGTAGAGAGAGAAGGATTTCATCATGTTCCCCACATTTGCTGAAACACAGTTACTGTCGTACTTACTGCATTGAGATCACCAGCATAGCTACTGGTATCTTTCTTAGGAGTTTTCAAGCTGAGGAGGTCTTCATATTTCTCCTGGTTGTCAAAGGCCAGACTGTTCCTTAATAAAACATTGTTTTTCCTCTGAGTTCTAGTTTCTTTACATTCTTGTTCTGATTTACTGAGCAAACTCTTTTCTTCCTTCCAGCCATTTGCCAAGTTGTGTCGACAGTTCAGTTCTGCTGTGTCACTCCGTTCTGAAGTAGGGGAATATACAGATAGCTGCAGCATCTTGCTTTGAATGGCCTTATTATCCCGGACATTCATATTGCTCTCCCGCCTTAGTTTTACCTCCTGGTAAAGCTGAAAAGGCAATAAAACACCCTATTTAATCAAAGTAGAGTTATGAGCTTGTAGGATAAAGGACCATATTTATTGTCTGTTTTTAACTGTGTTACAAAGCTCCTGAGCATTTCATTCAGTAAAATCACTTATGGGCTGAAAGATTTTATATGTATTTTTAGCTAAGAGATGCTGAGTCCTAAGTGGAATGGCCAATGGGCCATTCTATTGTCACAAGGTGTGGAGAAGATTTGTTACAATTCCCCAAATCTTCGCTATATTTTAATCTATGGCTTAGAGCTATGGAATGGGGTTCCAGAAGATCTCACAAGTTAAGCACGTCTGAGCTGGGTCAGTAATTAGGTGGTAAACTGCCAGGAAACATCAATGTGCTCCAGCAAATTCTGCTGGTCTTAAACAAGTGAAACTCTCTCTATGAATCAATACTGAATCAAAATTCCAGGATGGTGTTGGATGGTAATGTGCTGGTGTCTTTTTGATGAGGTCCTGAGATCCTCTGCCTCCACTAGTAAAAGCAAAGGCATTGTTAACTCAGGTGTTCTGGCATATTCTAATTTGGGGAATTATAATACAAAGACTTCCATTTACAGTCCCTTGAATGCAAAGATCCCAAAGCTCCTTACCAACATTAATTAATTCTCACAACACCCATGTGAGGTAGACAAGGGATACAGCCGTTTCTGAGCTGAAACACACCTGCTCTTTAACAGTGCACAGCACAGTCTGTAACACAATTTAAGACAGGCAGAAAAGAAAAATACTGCATCTGCTTGAAACTGCATAGCAAATACGGGTAGGTAGAATGCAATTACTAGAGTTGGGAATTTGGCTAGGACACTGAGGTTTACACATTCCTATTTTCAGTTGAAAAGCGAAGTGGACTTGTTAATGACCACAAGCGGTCATTACATCTCACTCAAAAGCTATCAGGCCTGATTCTCCCACTATGGCTGCTTTACGTTGCTCTGGCAGTGTGTGTAAATTACAATTACATTCACTTTAAAGTCCCTTTACGCTGCAAGAGCTGTGTCAAAGGGCCTTAGTGTAACTGAGAATTAGGCCCATCATCTCCAACACCATAGAGCCAACTAACAAAATAGCAGATGATTATTAATTGTAATAATAATTTATTATTTATATTACAATAGCATATAAAGGTCCCAATCAGGTTGGGGCTCCATTGATCTAGATGATGTAAATGATAGAAAGGAAATCTGATTCCTTTCCCAAACAGCATATATATACATCTAGGGCTCATGTTACTAACCACTGAAATGTAGTCACTTCTGTGGCAAAACAAGGAAACTAGTTAACAAATCACAGCAACATCACCACATTTAAGGCAGGAAGTGGAGAAGAATATCATATTCAAATCAAATAGAAATTACATCTGAAACATAGGAGGCAGACATCACAGAGTTACATTGTAGCCTGAGAACAGCATATGTCTGTGAGTCATTTGGCTCCATTTTCCTTTTCCATTTTATTATTTTCCTTTCATGTGAACAATCTCTTCCTTACATTCCTAGTGGTTGCAGAAAGCAAGTGAGAATATTTTCATATTAGAATAAATTTGTGCATTAGCAAGTGGCAGAGGGTTTTGTTCAGATGACAACTTTGGTGTAAAAGAATAATAAATAAATTACTTACGCTATCCCTGAAAGGAAGTGAATTAGAATTGATAGAAAGTAAATGATCGCTAACAGGTGTAAATATTCTTTGTGTCTAGCCTTTGTTTACTTTAATCCTTTCTTCTAATAAATGTTGTCAGTAAATATAGCAGGTCCTTGCAGGAATAAATTTCTCATTTCCTGAGCAACTCATTCTTTGATTCATGGAATTCCCTTTGATGTCAACGAATAAAGTAGTGCCTAATTTATCCCAGCCAGAGAGGTATATTTTAGAATATGCCTGTATTAGAATTTTGTTGATAAACATGCATTCACGTAAGCCAGTGGTTCTCAATAAGAGGTACGCATACCCATGGGGGCACGCAGAGGTCTTCCAGGGGGTACATCCATTCATCTAGATATTTGCCTACTTTTACAACAGACTACATAAAAAGCACTAGCAAAGTCAGTACGAACTATTTCATACAATGACTTGTTTATACTACTCTATACACTGAAATGTAAGTACAATATTTATATTCTAATTGATTTATTTTATAATTATATGACAAAATGAGAACGTAAGCAATTTTTCAGTAATAGTGTGCTGTGACACTTTTTTCTATTTTTTGTCTGATTTTGTAAGCAAGTTGTTTTTAAGTGACGTGCAACTTGGGATACACAAGACAAATCAGACTCCTGCAAGAGATACAGTAGTCTGGAAAGGTTGAGAGCCAATGACCTAAGCCCCATACAGATATGTCTGCTACTTTTTAAAATGCATGTACGATGCACACTGTGCCCAGAATCTCTGGCTATGGTATATACTGCCAGCAATACTGCAGAAAATTTGACCTAAGACCAATGCTTCAAAGTGACATCTCAAGTTCTTACTCTCTATCCATGGTTATAAAATTAACAATATCTCAAATACTCCCACAGCTCAGACCTTGAATCCTGCCATCAACCATTAAACAGTGGCAGGCACGGAACTGGAAAATGGTTCAGAGAGAAAAACCATGAGGTGGCCTTGGGCCACCAGATAAGACTTTAGAAAAATGTTCATTTTTACAGTGTTGTTTACACTCAAAAATCCAAAGTACCTCTTCTATTTTCTTCTGCATGACCTTCCACTGATTTTCCCACTCCTTCCTTTCACTGTCAAATCTCTCCAGCAGTTCCATCTTCTCTTTGGTCCAGTTTCTCTCAGTATTCTCCAGTTGTTTATGCAGGTCCATTGCTGCACTATGAGTATCAACTAAAAGGCGTTTCTGCTCCTCTTCTTTCCTGAATGTTTCCTGGAAGCTGGGATTGATTTTATCAGAATAAGTCTTTCTTGTCTTTGATTCTAGCTTCAAGCGAAGAGAAAAACAAATATAATGAAATTCCATTAATTTCAATTGTATCAAAGCTTGCTATCTATATCAGGATTATAATGATAAACATATACACTACAATAGAAGTATGGACAAACTGGAATACACAACAGAAAAAGGAGTTCCAACCCCTTCTCTCCCCCCCTCCCAAAAAGTGATATCTCATAACAAATTTAGTCTGTCATTCTACATGCTGTACCGAAATAGCATACACATAGGGAATAGTCCTACAAATGGGTAATATTCAGACTTGCTCTCCTTTAGATGAAGCAGAAGTGCTATAACAGCACTTGATCCTGCAAGATACTGAGAGCCTCTTGCAAGATGCTGAGCACCCTCAATTCCCATAGCAGTGAATGGCAATTCAAGGCCTTGGAACCTTCCAAGATCTGTCCTTTAGGCAGAATGGCCAAGAATGCTGTCTGTGTGCTATATCTGAACTGTTCACAAGACAACTAGAAATCTAAAGATAGGAAGTTTGCTCAGCACAATTGAGACTTTACACTGGCACATTTAAAAACATTAGTGTTATATGTATACTTTTAATTACACAAAAGAAAACATGCAGTTATGGGAGGAAACCATAAAACTTTTATGCACTACATATACATCAGACACAATACAAAAGCTTAATGTATTTTGGTTTTACAAATCTAAATAAATATATTAGTCCCATGGCATGGGTCTGGAAGACAGTAGAACAGGGTTCTATCCCCAACTCTGACTGATTGTGAGACCTTGCATAAATCATTTAACCTCTCTGCACCTCAATTTCCTATTCTGTAAAAATACAAAACATGAGCCCCACCACCCTCTGTAAAAATCTCTGAGTTCTATGGATGGACAAGTGCTAAGTAGCATTGTTATATTATGATACACTTGTAGAGGGAAACCTTTTACTGAATGGTGATAGATTTTATAGACCCAATTCTCACTCATTCAATTTTTACACCAGTGGCTCATTAAAAATCAGCAGATTTGCTGCTGATTTACACCAGCATGAGGTCAGAATAACACCCATTAATTCATTCTTGGAAGCGACAGTTTGGTAGCCTGACATGGTATGATGTACTGTATGCACAGTTGTGTGTGTTCCTTAAATCTGGGTTTCAAATCCGACTGTTGTGTTAATCTGGTGAACGTAGATATTCATATCCATTCACAATAAGCTTGCAGATTGCATTGTTTCGTGATCAGAGGCTGTGTCAATGTTATTTGTCGGGTCACAAAAACTATTCCCTTTATCGAACATGTTTGTGATTACTAGTTTACATCTAATTTTGTAATTACCTTTGTGCCTCATGCAAAGCTCTCCTCACCCCTTTACTGGGCAAAGCAGACTGATTCAGCTGCAGCTGCTACATGATCACTGCTTACCACTGTCTGTTTTTTTTCCAGCCAGCTGACAAGTTGACATCTAATTCAGATTCAGCTTCTTTCATTAACAAGTGAGCTGTGAGCTCAGCTGAGGACCAACGGGTTACTTGCCTCAGTGTATTAGATGAAGTCCTGATACAGTGCATCTCAACTGACAGCACTTAGGGCCTGATTCAACTGCCACCACAGCCAATGGCAGTCATGCCTCTGACTCAGTGCAAATTGGATTGGGGCCTAAGAGGGCAGGAACTCCCTTCATTGAACCTCCCTGTCGCTCCCTTTCAAGATCACAGTAATACCATAGAGTTATTTACCTGTGCAATGCAGCACTTGAGCTCAGCTCTTTCAAGCTCCCACTCAGACCTGTCATTGGAACACTGAGACTGCCAAAAGCTTCTTCATAAGAACATAAGAACGGCCGTACTGGGTCAGACCAAAGGTCCATCTAGCCCAGTATCCTGTCTACCGACAGTGGCCAATACCAGGTGCCCCAGAGGGAGTGAACCTAACAGGTAATGATCAAGTGATCTCTCTCCTGCCAGGCATCTCCACCCTCTGACAAACAGAGTCTAGGGACACCATTCCTTACCCATCCTGGCTAATAGCCATTACTGGACTTAACTTCCATGAATTTATCCAGTTCTCTTTTAAACGCTGTTATAGTCCTAGCCTTCACAACCTCCTCAGGTAAGGAGTTCCACAAGTTTACTGTGCGCTGTGTGAAGAACTTCCTTTTATTTGTTTTAAACCTGCTGCCTATTAATTTCATTTGGTGACCCCGAGTTCTTGTATTATGGGAATAAGTAAATAACTTTTCCTTATCTACTTTCTCCACATCGCTCATGATTTTATATACCTCTATCGTATCCCCCCTTAGTCTCCTCTTTTCCAAGCTGAAAAGTCCTAGCCTCTTTAATCTCTCCTCATATGGGACCCATTCCAAACCCCTAATCATTTTAGTTGCCCTTCTCTGAACCTTTTCTAGTGCCAGTATATCTTTTTTGAGATGAGGAGACCACATCTGTACGCAGTATTCAAGATGTGGGCGTACCATCGATTTATATAAGGGCAATAATATATTATCCGTCTTATTCTCTATCCCCTTTTTAATGATTCCTAACATCCTGTTTGCTTTTTTGACCGCCTCTGCACACTGCGTGGACGTCTTCAGAGAACTATCCACGATGACTCCAAGATCTTTTTCCTGATTTGTTGTAGCTAAATTAGCCCCCATCATATTGTATGTATAGTTGGGGTTATTTTTTCCAAGGTGCATTACTTTACATTTATCCACATTAAATTTCATTTGCCATTTTGTTGCCCAATCACTTAGTTTTGTGAGATCTTTTTGAAGTTCTTCACAGTCTGCTTTGGTCTTAACTACAGGTCTGTCGCATCTTAGGCACATTTAACATGTGCGATTTCTGCTTTACGCGGTCGGCAAAAACCAAAAAAAAAAACCCCCAAAAAGAGAAAAATAACAATTTAAATACTGTTTCTGTAGTGTGGGTGATTCCGCCTGCCATTACACTCAATGTAATTTTGACTATATGCGATTTTCGCTTTAGGCGCTGACTGCGGAACGTAACCCCAGCGTAAGATGAGACAGACCTGTATCTTGAGCAGTTTAGTATCATCTGCAAACTTTGCCACCTCACTTTTTACCCCTTTCTCCAGATCATTTATGAATAAGTTGAATAGGATTGGTCCTAGGACTGACCCTTGGGGAACACCACTAGTTACCCCTCTCCATTCTGAGAATTTACCATTAATTCCTACCCTTTGTTCCCTGTCTTTTAACCAGTTCTTCTTTTCTCTTCCTTCTTTAGCTCTGCCTGAGCCATAGGTGCCAACTCCCTGGATGCTCCGGAGCTGGAGCACCCACAGGAAAAAAATAGTGGGAGCTCAGCACCCACCAGCCACAGTTGTTCGGTGGCGCTGCCGATCAGCTATTTGGTGCTCCCCGATCAGCTAATTGGGGCTCTGACAAACAGCTGATTTGTTTGTGGATCAGGGAGGGGGGTGGAGCAGGGGCAGGAAGAGGTGGAGCGAGGGCAGGGCCTCAAGGGGATTGAGTGGGGGCGGGAAGAGGTGGAGCGAGGGTGGGGCCTTGGGGGAGAGGGCGGGGTGGGGGCAGGGCCTCGGGGCGGAGTGGGGATGGCGCACTCCTGGGGAAAACTAAAAGTCAGCACCTATGGCTTGAACCACTTCCAAAACAGACTTCAGATCCAGCAAAACACTTCTGTTTTCATCTACCTAGAAACGTTCAGGGTAGCTTTACAAATAAAGATCTCGGACACTAACAGAGCTGCTCCAAGACAACTCAGCATTCTTAATATGAAATATGTCCACTGTTAGTTTGTTGTTTCAGATAGGCTCATGGCTTCATGTTGAAGCCGGCCAGTCTATGGAGCTGGCCCCCCTCCAGGGCTAAGGTTTTAGCTCAGTACCAGCGATTGTAGTAAATGTTGATGAAAAACAACTTCTTATATAAGAATTCCATGCACTGAAGATCTGTTGCATTTGAAACGTCTATTCATGGAATATCTACAGCCACATCAATATTTTTTTCATTTCACTACTACAAAGGTTGTATTTTTATGGAGGAAGGGAGGTAAAGCAGTAATTCACTCTTTTGTTATACTTACTCTTTTAACTTATTCAAGAAACTTAAGCGGAATTAACCAAACTGATCTATTTACTCATTTGACTTCTCTGGAATGATTCAAATGTATGTAGCAAAGAACAGTGTGAAGGCATAAACTAGAGACAGATTGAGATATGTTTTGCCTACTGTTTGCACAAGCCTTTGTCAGTGCAACATTAGGAATAACAACTGTGATTCAATCAGAAGCAAATGGTAAATCTTACTGGAACCAATCTGAAAGCCTACATTGCAGCTTAATATTTACTGAATGTGCTCTAGTCATGCACACATTTGCAAAGCAGTTTAGCATGTCAAAAGATTCTTGATGTACTTTTAGAGTGATTACTTATCAGGTATTCCTCCCATCTTCAAAATGTACATCTGCCTCATACAAGATTCCATTTATAAAAATAGAATGGAGACCATCAAAATGCAATCAAGTCCTGGAAAAAGTTAGTTGCAGCTATTTACTTGTAACTGTAACTTCCCTCAAAAGTGCTTCTCTCTTTCATCCATGATTTCTTTTCCTGTTCATATCACTTCTTACTCCCTTCAAATTTCCTCTTAAGATGCAAATAGTCATAGGGTATGTCTACACTGGAAACTTCAAAGCGCTGCCGCGGGAACGCTCCTGCAGCAGCACT